TCGTTAATACAAACGAGAAATGATTCCTAATGACTCGATATTTCCTATCGTGCGCGTAGGAGTTCAACGTTAAGGAGCTCTGAGAATAATTACGTTAATTAAATGCAACGTACCCGACCTCTTACAGACTTCTAATAGCTCTGTATTAATTATACATAAGCGCGTCTGTCTCTCTGACTTTTTTTCTTTTTTTAAGTAACACGCCGCACGGTACGAGCGCGCGCGCGCGTTCTCCTTCCGGTCGCGAGACGTCAGCAATTTCACGTCAGGATCTCGCGCTGAAATTACGCGGTGAAATTCGCAAAACGAGCGGGGTCACCCTTAAGCTCACGCACGCACGCACGCGCGCGCGCGCGCGCGCGCGCACCTTCGATTTCCGTCCGGACGGAGCAGCGAAGCGACGAAAAAGCGTGTCGCAACCCAGATATGCGGAAAACGGCCGGTTTCACCGGCTTCTGTCGCCGAAAAGCGCGCCGCGCATAGCATCATCAACTGCAGGAACAGCTCAACTACGGAACGCTCACCGCTCACCAATCGGCCATTAATCTGGAGCATCTCGCCTCTCGTCTCTGTGCTGGCCGTCTGTGCGAAGTAGAAAACGTTCTGCGATAGATTCGACCGGTCCGACCGGTTTCTCAGGGAAGAGTGAAAATCTCAATTCGATCGCGCGCGATCGGCGCGACTCGCGCAAAAATCGGAAATCGCTTAATCTCGCTGGATGGCGTGAAACGAGCCGTTACGGTTCCGTACGAGGACACGCGAGGTGGCTCGGTCGGCGGGTGGCTAGCTCGCATCTAGGACGCGAGTCATCGTATAATTGATACCCTCGCAGGTGCGCAGATTTACGAGCTCGACGACTTTTCGTGTCGTCTTTTCCTCCAGACGATGCATCGACGGAGGAAAGTAAAAAGGAGCCGGAGCCGACAATCGGGTCAAGGCCCCCTTTTATTAGTTGTTTTTCGTCGCGCCACGCGTCGCTGGACACCCGTCCCGGCAATCTCCGATCGAAGACGCGTGGCCGAAGGCCTCCTGGCCATCCGGCGGATACTTCGCGGACCCACCCTTTCCTTCTCGCGGAGATGCGAGAGCGCGCGGACACAAGACCGTTTGTCGGGGAATTAAGGTCGCGGATGTCAGCTATTATATCTGCCTTCAGGCGCCTCGGACGCGTCAACCGTTTCGTTTCGTTCCGCTTGATTTCCGTATTTTACACGTGTGTGATTAAACGTACTCTGCACAACGTCGAACACGTCGACCCAGTGGGTCTCTATGCACGTCTCAGCGCAGAAAATTATCGGGCCATCATCGGGTGTAAAATATACATTCGGTAATGTAATATAATAATATTAACACACACACATGTTAATATAATTTCCTGCGACGAAGTAACGTAAAGTGTGGAACGATGTGTGTAAACCGTTCAGAAGATTGGAAAATTACGTGTGAGAGAATGTTATTCGAAGAAGACGATGACATTTAGAAACGTACGTTACGCTGAGAGAGGAAATATTTAAAATACACACACAAGAAGGTACTTACACGACTTCTTATTTTGAGCTTTTTCGTTTTTATTGCTTTTCTACACATTTTTATCCTGTCGAGACCTACCGTTATTCTTGGACGCAGCAGGCGAAGATTTAATTTACCGGCGATATCCTCTCGATATATACGAGCCGTCGTTTCGATCGAGCGCGAGCGCGAAACAGCGCGGTGCTCGAAACTACATTTGCGTCATCTCTCCGTCCCGCTTTCGTACGGGATCTCGGAGTATTTTATTCATGACGCTATGATGTTTCTGTACATCGCTGGTAGCAGACGCTTTCGCAAGGCTTGACGAGCTATTAAGACCGAACCCGGTCTAACGATGGTCGACGGGTTGATTGACCGATCGGCAAAACTAGGCTTCGGCTGTCTCTCTCTCTCTCTCTCTCTCTCTCTCTCTCTCTCTGCTTTTCCCGGTGTTCCATCCGCTCTTCCTGGCAAACTTACGATCGAGTCGTTTCCGGTTCATTAAGTTGCCCGGAAGATCGGCGCTCTGGATGGCGGCATATTCGCGGAATCGGGAATCTCTCGCGGATCGACGATACATCGATTCTCCTCGCGGCCTCGTTCTCTCGCTCGTAAACCACGCTGGCTGCTAGTGAAAGAGCAGATATTCACGGACGAGCTCGATTATTATCCCTCGTTTCCCCCTTTACAGCGCGCTAATAACGAGACGGCGAGCGGCGAGCGAGCGAGTAGGGCCGAAGGGTGAATCGGATTATAACGGATTATGGAGAAAGTGTAACGATCTCACGTGAGAATAAGAACTGCCTCGACGAGCAAGAGAGCGTTCGCGGCGCGCTCGGAGTGAAAGGAAACGATTCGACGTGTGTGAGAGAGATCGCGATTAAAAATCCAATCCGATTCACCCTTCGCCCATTGTTCCACCACTCACTCACTCACTCACTCACTCCCTTCCCCCAAGTCGGGTGGTTGAGGAGAATTCTCACCAGGCGAAAGAAATGATTCATATGTGACGCTGACTATCAGCGTGATTACTCACGCTGGAGTGGACTGGAGAACCGTTTGTATTTCGAGTGTCGTTTCCAAGCGCATCGCGCTTTCTCGCTCCGCGCGTCTCACTCTTCTCGACGATGAGCAGCCATTTCGCAAAAATCTGTCCGCAGATCTGTCCGCAGATATATGAACGACGAAGCATCGAGGGTAATCGGTAAAAGTGTCGAAAGAATTTAATTCAAATATATTACAGAGGAGAGTGATGCGAACGCACTCGCGAAGAGGATCACGTTTTCACCGCGTGTCAAATAATTCTTCCGTGCCAGATTTTTCCACGTATTTTCCTCGACTCTTCGTTGCCGCGGCTTCGCTCACACTATCGGAGGATCTGATACGCGAAGCACGCCCGCTTCGGACTCGACGATTAAATCTAATTGCGTACACGCGTAAGTCACTCCAATTGGCGAGCAAGAGCAGCGACGCTCGAGGGGCGGGGGGGAAGGGAGGGGGGGGGGAGAAGCTTTGCACCGTTAGGCGTAGGCCGGCGTGAAAATGCACGCGAGCGCTCATAATTCCGCTCGTGCCGCACGGCTCGCCAAGAAGCGAACAACGCGCAGAGCAGCGGCAGAGAGGCGCGCGCGCGCGCGCGCGCGCATTTGCTTTGCTAATTTATCCATCAAGATAATCCGTCGCCACCGCCGATCTCGGGCTGAAAGTAAAAGCGTGGCGAAACAGCGCGCCGCGCCGTTGCGCAAACGCGACTCGCGAAACGATTCCGGGCTCTCGCGCTTTCGAAGAAAAAAGAGAGAGAAAAAAGAAGGAGGAAAAAATCAGGGGGGGGGGGCGAAAATTTATGTCTCGTTTATCCACCGCGGGGAGAAACGTCGCGAGCTTCTCCGTATCGCGTCGCTCGTTTTCCAACGGAGCGAGACCACGGACGGATTTTCTGCACTCGCGCTCGGTAACGCGATAACGCGGCGGAGAAGTTTTGATCTACGAGTTCGGCCGCTATTATTTACACGAACATTGAGATTAATAGATCGCTGACGTGGAGAGCGACGTATCGCGTCGGGCCGGCGACAGCCAGTTGGAGAAACCCAGTTCCAAGTTCTACCCTGCGACTTTCTAGCTCCTCGAAATTTTTCGCTGCCCCCCCCCCCCGCCTCTCCTCCCCCTCGCGGCTCGCTCTGCGCGCGGCGCGCAACATGCTTGGCCGGCTCGGCGGGTTTCGGATTATAACAAATTGTCTCGTGAGAAAAGCATCCTCTCGCTCCGCGGTGCAGTAGAAAGTGAAGTTTTGCGATACATGAAACAAGCGTATCACATAGAGCCCATTAATTAATCTAAAACGTCCGCGCGGTGGAGGATCGGAAGAAAGCGTGCGCTCTCGGCACCGAGAGCCGTCGAGAAGGCGGACACATAATTGATGCCTTATCCGTCGATACTCTCCGGCTGAAAAAACACACCGCTGCTACGCACGGCACCGTCCTTGTAATCCGATCTCCGCTCGGAGTCGTTCCCCTCGCCCTCGGTTCTGCGCTCGTTTCTGCAATCTAACCCCCCCCCCCTCTCCCCCCGACCATACGAGCACACTGAGAGAAAAGTATATGATATTTGGAACTATAATGATGTAGTAACTAAATTATAGTCCGAAATATCATATTTATAATAAGTATTATCATAATATCGGTAATAATTACGATATAGGCACAGTACAACCAAGCAATATTTTTACTAATATATTTACTAAGAACTATATAATATTTTTACTAAGAATTATAGCAAGTTAAACTGAAATTATCGTGTCGGATAGAAATATAAAATGATGGGTAAAGTAACTCTTTTATACAGTCAATATTACCTATAGAATATTCGCTAAATGATGACAGATGTAACTATACGAATATTAAATCTCACTATATTTGCGAATGACAAATTCCACCATATACGCGGTAAAAGTAACCAAACAATTATTTAAGACAATCATTGACTATATATCTGTGTTTATTCTACTATATCTTGCAGATCCCACGAACTAGAAAAATATGGCCGACGCCAAAATGAACTATAGCGAGTATAGCGAGATTATCGTTGATTCAACTATATTTCTCTATCAGCGCATCGAAGGAGAAGGAGCTCGTTCTACCGCTTGTTCGTGCGTCACGTTCATCTCACCGCGACGTTTCCGTATCCTCCGCGTCCGGCCGCGGAGGCCCGGAGGCACCGATACAGCTGTCCCTTGCCGCGAATAAAAGATGCTCGCCTTTGTTGCCTTGACTGCCAGGCGCAGTCATTACTCTTTGAAGCTCGTTAAAGCAGCGTTAAATACACCAGCACTCATAACGGCTGCGCGCTCGCGGACTCTCTCCTCAGCCGGGCGCTCGCGCGTTCTGCCGCGCTACGACGAGCGTATTATTAGTTGCGCGATGCGCGCGATGCGATGATAATTGCGTATTTAATGGCGAATCGACTAACGAGCCCCCGTCGCGTCTCGTTTGCAGCAGGAGCCGGGGCTGGAGCTCGACACCAGCAACGGCAGCAGCAACGGCGGCAGGCCGCGCTTCGTGCCCGTCACCGCCCTCGAGGACGTGCAGGCGGTGCGCTGCGCCGAGTTTCACCCCCATGGCAAGCTCTACGCCGTGGGCTCCAACTCGAAGACGCTGAGAATATGCGCCTACCCGAAGCTCCACGATGTCAGGTGAGTGAGAGAGCGGCCAGACTCATCGCGGCGAGACTCATCGCACAATTCGATGAGCGCAACAACCTGTCATACCGAGATGACATGAGAAGAGCAGCGCTCGCGTGCGCCTTCGTTTAAACCGAAAGTGAGAGATCGCGAGCGTCTCGCGAGCGCGCTTGTTGCAACAAGTGTTTTCACTTTTTGCAACGATTCCATTTCGTCGAGAGGCGATTTTCCTCGCGCCTCCTCAACGTCGTCTCGCGCGCGCGTGTGTGTGTGTGTTGAAATCGGCCGCTGAGCTCTTGCAACCGCTCGCGTTCGAACCGCATTTGCTCGACCCGTAGAAGTCTTTTCAGAAGTCGGAAGAACACGCCTCTCGTGCTCTCGTGGAAATGAGGACAATTATTACATAAGCCGAATCTCGACCGGGCAATTTCAAGCGTGCGCTAATCGATTGCATTGTGTCCGCGGAGTGAAAAAACATGCAAATTGCCTCTCACCGAGATCAGGTCGTTGCATCTCTCGTTTTATCTATGTCTCTTTCTGTGTCTCTTCGCAAGCTTCCTTATCTCTCTCGTTCGTATCTTCTCGCAAGGTTCCGTTCGCCGAGAGATTTGCGGGGAGAGCAGCGCCGCGTTCGATTGTTCAAACTCAAACACCCATCAATGATGAATTGGCGATACCGATATTGGAGCTTTCTAGCGAATGCGCATTCGACAGCGGGACCGGAAGGCGAACCGACGCGACGCGGCGCGGCGCGGCGCGGCGCGGCGGATGGAAGTCATTTCGCGTCAGAGAAATCGCAAATCGCGGCTGTGGGCTCCGTCGAGGTAACCGCGGAAGTAACGCGATCGCAGTGCCTCCCCTCATCCAGAACCGAATATCGCAAGATTGGAAGCTCTCAACGTCGCGTGCTGGCCGCCTCGCGGTGTGCGTGCGTGCGTGCGTGCGTGCGTGCGTGCGTGCGTGCGTGCGTGCGTGCGGGCGGATAATGGCCGGTCTTCGACCAGTTGCGTTATCCGAATACGGCTACGTCGCCGTACCGTTATTACGGTCTTACGCAAAAATAACGAGCGCCGCGGACGGTAACGTCGCGCGCTGCCGAAAAACAGCGGCAATCATTACGGTTCTCCTGTGATCCCGGGAGGAAGAGAAAAATCGGATGATGAATTAAGAAGGCAGCGAAGGGGGACAGGAAGAGAGTCCGTGAGACGCACTCGACGAAAAGTCAGCGAAAAGAAGCGCGAATCATAACGGGCCGGCCGAGAACCGCGATTTTCGCTCGTTTTATCAACGACCGCGGTGAGGATCGCCGATCGCCGACGAAATAATTTCACGCGAACGTCCGCGATAAGTCTCGGGCTCGCGCGCTCTCGGTGCTCCCGTTATGCAACGCTGACTCCTGCCTGGCCGAGCTTGGCGTCATTTTTATTATCCACGCCGGACACGTTTCGGATACTGAGATAAGAGCGAGGAGAATTCTCGCGCGAGAGCGCGAGAGAAATCAACGGCGTTGCGGCCGTGGCGGCGGAACGCGCGTCAATAAGAGGTTTATCCGTCATCTCGACGCGCTGATAACGTCCACGCGCGCGACTCCGCCTCTCAAGATAATTAGAACAGAGACGCAGCGGCATTCATCAAAGCACGAGCATCCTGCGATCGATACCCCTTCTTGTCGTCGGCGATTGCCGCGCGAATTGTTACTCGCCGAGCTATTGATCTCTCGCTGATGTATGCGCGGCGAGATTTACACGACGACGGCGCGCACGTGCGCCTACCCAAAGTTTTATCGGGAGATCGTTATCGTCCTGGACCGCTTCCGGGCGCGGTACTTGCATCCGCGGAGAACAGGTCGGTAATGGATACTCCGTGTCGACGGTTAGATATCTCTCAGACCGCCCGCCAATGGGCGTCTAAGAAATAGTTGCAACAACGCCGAGAGGAACACTTGGACCGCGCTAATAATCGCACACGGCGCACGAGTAATAATTTCGCGTTATTCATTCACTGAGCGTACAATGCTTACGGCGCGACAGTCGAGAAGATTTTCTTATGCCCCCTTCGGATTTCTTCGCGAGCAATTTTATCCGAAATTCAAGAGTCAAGTCCGCCGTCCGCCGCGAGGGAACGAGCTCGCGCTCTGAGGAGCTCGCAAATTTCAGCGGTTTTGTAAATTTGCATCCGCTAAACTAATTTTACGCAAACGCGCTGGGTTAACGAGCGGCGGAGGCCTTCATGCCAAACGGAGCATCCCTCGCATGTTTCAACGAGAATGCGGGAGCGCATTCACAGGCTCCTTTTTCCATTTCCACGTCCTCCCGCGAGGACGTGCTTCGCAACGATTTATTTTTGTCGCCTCACCGTGCGTTCGCAGCAGTCAATATTCCGAGCAACCCCATGCATTTTACGATCTCGGGGCGAATCCGGGGGCTTCCGGGAGACTTTCGCTCGGCAAATCTTTTCGAAGCGAGAGAGCGCGCGCGCTTAGTGAGACACGAAGAGAAAATCCTGAAAAAATCCGGAGATTCGAGGAACATTCGGTCGCGATTGAACATTCCCGCGGCGCAGAGAGAACGAGCCGGTTAAAAAACAGAGAAACCAATTGGAGAACGTGAAATATGTCGCGTGTGACTAAGTAATTCCGTAACATTTTGGAGCGATATAAAAATGCGCACGGGTCGTGTCGCGCCGGCGCGCGCGGTGCAAAAATACCGCCCAGCGGAATTGTACGTGTGACTTTTTTTGCGGGGCGAGAGGGCGGGAGGGGCGGGGGTAACGTTACATAGTTCGAGAGGCCGTTTTGCATTACAAGGTAGACAACAAACAGTCCCCTTTCACTCGCAGAATATATTCCGTCTCGAATTCACGACAGCGCTCGTTTCACGCTCATATCACAATGTTCCGCTAAAGAGGACAGAAAAAGAGTCAACGAGGCGCGATTCGCGCCTAAAGTCAATAATGCGCAGCGCGATTTCCATCTGTTCGCGCGTCCGTGAGTGACCTCTCGCCGACTCGACTCGAGTCATTACCTTCCGCGGGAAAGTGCGCGTTCGTGCGCGAGACGCGCACTTTAGAGTTTTGCGGAAAAGCCGCTTTCGAATTAACGGGGGGAGCACAAAGTGCGTGGCGCACGCGCGTATGTCCCTTACGTAACTCCTCGGCGCGCACTTTCAGAATCGCCATTAAAGCCCCGTACTTGAAACTGACTGACCGAGCCTGAAACGCACTTGAAACCGAAACTGGAAACGCGGTTGCATATACGCGACGTAAATATCTTTCTTTAACTACACCAAAGGAATATGATCCAAATTGCGTAAGTAACGAGTAATTCTACCTCCGACGGGGAATTAACTACGCAAATTAGTCTTTTAATGCGTCGCGTCAGTTTTATGATTTTATGATGATCGTCTCGTTAGGACGAATGCGCAAAAACGATTCGCACAAATGAGAGAATAGAAGAACGTTAGAAACCGGCTGAAAGAATCAGGCTGCCGTTAGTTAGTCCGCCGTGTACGACCCTGAGATCAAATTTGCGCAACTTCATGCGCACTGCACCGATCCCTTTTGCACAGTGTACGTAAAATCACGGCGCTGCGCTAATGAGTCGCGCGAGTAAACAGCTCGTAAAATTCGCTTAACGGCCGTTGTAAAAGGCGTGATTGCGCCACTTGAGCGCACGCGCGATAGCACGCTAATAGCGTGCGAGCGTACGCACGCTCGTAATTATGTGAACTTACGCACCAGGCACCAGGAAATCGTTTCCCGTGTCGTGACATCCGTGTTGCGACAGGAGCAAGAATCAGTTGTCGGCGACGGACAGCTTGTGAGAGAACCCGGCTATTAAGAGACCTTAGATCGTTCAATCCGAATCTCCGAGGCGATCGCGCGGTTCTCCGCGCCGTGCAATATGTGTACGTACACCTGCTGATATTTACGTCAGCGTCAGTATCGTGCGGAGTCGCAAGTTAGATTTGCCGTTTGATTTTTACTGGGAATCAAAGCTGTCGGCAGGCAATATCGCCGAGATCGTACGGGAGATAAATCGGCCGAGCGAGCGAAATGGAACGGATACGTACGATACACGCATATTGTCGGTCAAATCGGCAAATCGAGTTAACGCGGATTTTTTGCAGCGATTAAATAGGAGAGGAAAGGAGGATGAAAAACGAAGTCTAGGAGATGATAATGACAGTCGTATATATAGTTAGCGTCGCCCGTAAATTAAGCGCGTACGAACAGGAACATGGGCACGCGTGCACGCACACACACGCAGGTGACATTCGTTGATAAGCGAGAGTGCGATCTGTCATTTCGAAGGATGAATGAGAATTTCTGCTTCTTATTGGCACATTTTTCTTTCGCTTTTTTCATTTTTTATTCGCGCGGCTTTCACGTCGACTTTCAGAATGACCAAAATTACTGCCTCCGCTCCGCTGTGCGTGGGTAGGTATGAGCGATCGGTAGCGAATAAGGGCACAGATTTCTACACACGACACCGTTCCGAATGTGACAGTCATCTCGCGATATTTCTTTTCTTTCTTTTTTTTTATCAAGCGAGATATGCAGGATATGCTGCGAAAGTAAGCCGATCGCGCGCGCCAGCAGCTTACTCATCCGGCGAATTCGTCGCGAGACGTAATCTTTGAATTTCTCCGCAGGGTGCCCCGTGACTCGCATGCTCGCTATTTTCTTCTTGAGGAAAATTTGTCCATTTGTTCTCAGCGGAAATGCCGAGACATTGGTTTTGTGTCTGAGATACAAGCGGTCGAGAAAGTAGAACTCTTCGCAAACTGAGCTTCTCCCGACTCTGTTGGACTTCGTCTCAACGGAGTTTTAATCCGAGGCTTAGCTTCGAACGTGTTTTCTTTTTTATTTGTTTTTTTTTGAAAATTTAAAGCGTCACTGTAAAAGCGACGAACTTTCTCAACATTTCCGCCGAGGAAAAGTTGTGAAAAATTTCCATGAGAATCAGCGCTACGTAGTAATAGCGGAGGCGAATTGTGAGATATACTCCGTATACTCCTGATCGACATATCTCCTGATTACGTTTAACGACACAACCGTCCGGGAATTTTTAATTTTATTCGCAAATTGTTCCTGACACCCTGCGCGATTCACCTCGCGAACGACTTGCGCGCTGTAACAGCCTTAGCCGTTCCATCCCGCTCTCCCATCGTTCCACGTACGGACGCCTTTTTCAATTATGTCGTTATTGTCCGGAGAAACCTCCTCAGCGAATAATCGTATCGTCACTTTCGAAAGTCGTTCCCGTCCGGTGCGCGGCTGGAAACGGCCAGAAGTGACGTTAATTTCGCGCATCACGCTCGAGCTGGATGGATACGAGAGAAGGCAAATAATAATTAATAATGAGAGAGATATTTCACGAGTGGAACATCTTGATCGGCGGACGCGGCGTAGGGGGAGGGGGGGAGAGAGAGAGAGAGAGGAAGATAGGAAGAGACAGAGGGAGAGGGGGAAGGGAGCAGAAAGAGAGACCGTCAGCTCACATGAATCGCGCGCGCGCGCGCGCGCGGTGGGAAAGAGTCGTGCTTAATTAAAATCTGCATAAAAACCGGCGTCGTGAAAGCGGCCGTGCGCCGCTCTCGGCGTCTCTTTAAAATCATCGAGCCTCTCCCTCGTTTCCACGTCCGAAACGCCGACGGTGCACAATAAAGCGGTGCAGCGATATCGGCGGCTTCAATTAGAGACGAGCCTGACGACGAGACTGGGAACGAGGAAGAAAACAGCTCGATGAAAGTGAGACGAAGCGCCTTTTCTTCCTGCTGCTTCCTGCGCTCACACTGGCGCGCGCGGCGGCTCGACGGCGCTTCGTCGAGTTATAGTTCCACGATTAATCCACGTACATCCGCGCATGGGCGATTTATCGCCGTTACGTGGAAAGATCCTGCCATGCGGCGGCAGCGCTCCGTGCGACGCTAACGACGGTCGGGGAGTAAATAGCAGCGCGTCGTCGCGCTTTCTTTTCTTCCCCAGGGAGGATCATCAGACCTATCAACCCACCGTTCTCTTCAAGCGAACGAAACATCACAAGGGCTCCATATATTGCCTCGCGTGGACCCCGGATGGCAGGCTGATGGCCACCGGAAGCAACGACAAGACCGTCAAACTGATGCGTTTTAACGCCGACACGTCGAACCTCGAAGGTATGTGTGCGTCTGTTTGTCCTTTCTGCTTCGAGGGGTGCGCTTGGTGGCTTTAGACACCAGCGAAGCAAACCACCAATTAAAAGCAACGTCGAAAAGTTACGTCAGTGTTACAGCTTTTCGCCCAACAGCGTGACTACGAAACACGTAGTGTTGTATCGCGCGTGTATTACTACAAAATTTCCCACTTCTTCCTGAATCTCTCGAGGTTTGCCGACAGATGACAATCATTAGTGGCTGGATAAATTTGCCGCGTCGTCAAGCTGATTCGCTCCCCCCTCCCTCCCTCTCTCCCTCCTCATACCTGCGTTCTTCGTCAGCGTGCTTCATCATCTTCTCACGTGTAATTTTCAGGCCAAGAGGTCGAGTTGACTATGCACGACGGCACGGTGCGCGACCTGTGCTTCCTCGAGGACACGTCGAACAAATCGAGTCTTCTGATCAGCGGCGGTGCCGGCGATTGCAAGATATACGTTACCGACTGCGCGACCGGCACACCGTTCCAAGCCTTGAGTGGCCACAGCGGCCACGTGCTGACGCTCTACAACTGGGGTGGAGCGATGTTCGTCAGTGGATCGCAGGATAAAACAGTTCGATTCTGGGACCTGAGAACGAGAGGCTGTGTCAATATGGTTACACCTGCGACGGTACCTGGCAGCAGGGTTAGTTGGGTTCTCTGTCGATACGTTCGCCAAAGTTTGTCTCGGCATTTCTCTCTCTCTCTCTCTCTCTCTCTCTCTCTCCCTCTCTCTCTCTCTCTCTCTCTCTCTCTCTCTCTCTCTCTCTCTCTCTCTCTCTCTCTCGCTGATGATCATGACTGTCGCGTGACGGAGAACGGAATAGGTACTTTGAACAAGTTATTTCCTATCGGACATAAAAAGTTTATTTTCTCGCCCGCAGAATTTCTTCAGAATTTCTTCTTCAGTTACTTAAATTTGCCCGTCGTCGAGAATAATGTTGAGTAGTAAAAGAGCTTGTTTCCTTCTCCGTTCCACGACAGTTTACGGCTTTCTACCCGCGCGTGAGCCAGCAGTTCAAAGTGTCCAAAGTCGGAATCCGGACAGACCCGGAGGAGAGATTACCATCGCGCGCCATGACTCAAAATCCGGCATGCATCGTCAGCATTGTTTGTGTTCGATTCTAGAGCCTTGTATTTGGTTTCACGTCCGATAAACATTCGATCGTCGCAGTTTTCAACAGCACCGCCATCTCTCCCACTCGCAAGACGCCCGTCACTTCTCTCCCCCTCGATCGAATGTCTATCGGACGTCCTTGCACCCCCGTTCCCCGAGCGGAAGCAGTATTGTTTGCCTGATCAGCATCTGATTCCACTGCAGGTCGGCAGCCCCGTGGCCGCGCTCTGCGTGGATCCGTCTGGCCGGCTCTTAGTGTCCGGCCATGAGGACAGTAGCTGTGTTCTCTTCGACATTCGCGGTGGCAGGACAGTTCAGTGTTTCAAGCCTCACGCGGCGGACATCAGGAGCATACGATTCTCACCATCGGCGTATTACTTGCTGACAGCGGGATACGACAACAAATTGGTGCTCACGGACCTGCAAGGTATGCTTCGCGATAAGGTCTCTTCTGAGGTCTCGGGACTCTGCTTATGCTTATGCGTAGAAACTATATCATGTCATGTTGTCAAAGATGATAAACTTCGGGTATCGAACTTCGGGTTGAACGAGTAAGATAATATAGCGATAAATTTTTGCACAACAGATGATAACAGATATGTTCAGTGTTGATTCGCTCGATTGTGAGAGTAATGTTTTACTTCCAGCAAAATTCTATTTCCGTTTCTCCGACTGTCAAAGTGGCAAAGATTTCAGTGTATAATCGGAAACAACGGAACATGTTTCAGGCGATCTTACGATGCCGTTGCCTAGCGTCGTGGTTGCCCAACACCAGGACAAGGTGATCTCGGGGCGCTGGCATCCGACCGAGTTCTCGTTCCTCAGCACCTCCGCTGACAAAACGGCAACCCTGTGGGCCTTACCACCAGTCTAAAAGTCCTGGACGATAATGCGCGCGATGTTATTTATTTCTTTGTTTCCTTCTTTAAGATCACCTTAACATGATGAATTTTCGTTTTCGACGGCGACGTTCTCGCGCGTATCGGGTGACCTCGACTCACTTCGCGGCTCTCGAGAGCGGCTCCGAGACGGACGTCGTTCGCCCGGGAGAGAGGAGCAAGAAGAAGAAGTTGGTTTTACAAGCGATGTTAACGCCTAATATTCTAATGTGTTATCTGTGTATTCGCACATAGTTTAACCATGACCAATTAAACCTCCTTGATCTGCGTGACGTGCGTCGTTAACACGCGATACGATGGTTAACTCGCAGCGTGTTCGACGCGTGTTACACGCGCGTGTTACAAGTCAAGCATTTAAACGATTCGAAACACTGTAAACACTGTGCAACGCGCTTTAAGGGAGAACAAGGAACCGTTTTTTAGTCAAACGATATAATATGTATATCGGAACCGGTAGAACATTGTTTTTAGCTACGAATTTGATACCGGGGAATTACAAGACTGTGGGTGAATAATCACTTCGCTTCTCGATTCGCCGCTTCGCAGCCAGCGCGAAGCCGAATCGTGCAACATGTGGAGAGAAGAGTTTCAGATACTTTTCTACTTTTCCTGCGCGAAACGCGATACAAGTTTTTTTTTCTTCTGTTTTCTGGAAGGACGTTGATTTCGCGGGGAGAAAAACACACGCACGTACTTATCATCAGAATGTCGCGATACGCGACACTTTTTCTTTCGTTTTCTTTAACATAATAATTTCGTTATGATAATCAGAATTACATCTGTACTGTAAATATGTTAAGATGGACCTTACAAAAGATCCTCAAGATTCACGCGAAATTCTCACGCGCGCTCCTCCTTTTAAGCGAAGCACGTGTACCAATTCATTTCTTATTCCGAATGCTCTCTGATACTTTCACGCACACCGTCATCGCGTCGTTTCGTAATGTTTAAGTGGGAAAGCAAGAGCAAAGAGAAAAGAAGAACATTCGGGAGAGTCGTCACTTTCGTTATGTCTGACTCTTGATTTATCATAGCAAAAGCTGCGCTGCGCCGCGCCGCACCGCGCCGCAATCGTTCTAATACGCGCACGCACACTCGCGCTTAACTCGCGTAGATGCTCCTCCTTACTTCCATCTCCATGTTATATCGACTCACAAGCCAAATATACACACGCGTTCTAGTATACATAGGTATTATATCCGTATTCAAAGAAATTATATAGGTACGCTCATATTAATCGCTATTTTTTACGGACTAAGATAATTAATATAACTCGAGAATGCGTATATCTCTGGAGCGTATATCGAACGATTTACGCGACTCGTCGCGACACGTGATTAAGTTTACGGCTAATCGGAACAAGATAGTATTCTTTACGTAGTACGGTCGTAAGTCGACCAACAATTAGATTTAAGTTGCATGTCGCAATCGCCAAAGCTCGCAGTAGCAAGAAAACTGGAAGGGAAGACAGCGAAAGGGAGAACCACTTTTGGCCGGCTGTCGAGAGTGGATTCTTCCTCTCGTCGATTCGATGTAGCGATTCGAACGTGTGCGTGGGAAGAGGTTTCTGTAAATACAAACAACGTTCATCGGCGAGTGACTCCTGATTTTTCATATCACTTCTCTGTCAGACTACGATGTTCGCGCGTGTCACACTTATTGTTTTATCCCTACTTCGACGTTGACGCTCGCAAAAGGGCGAGTCTCTCACTTTTTTCCGCGTATAGACAAATCGTACCTTAAGACGCGAAAGGCGAAAGTGTTCGATGAAAACGGGAAAGTTCGCGGGAGATAAGGATAAAAAGGAAAAGAGAAAAGTGAAGAAAAAGAAAAAAAAAAAAAGCAGAATAACGATCAAGGGGAAACGGGTGAATAAATAGGGAGGTTCAAGTGCACCGCTTGCTGGGTAAAAAAAAATTCGCAATCTTCCGTGTTCGATCATTCGTAAGACGGCACACAGAGACGAGCACAGTACAAGCGTGTACACGGAGTACCGTGAATCAGAACGCAAAACGCGTCTCGCACTGAGACGAGTTCGCACGAATTCGCTTCTCGGTGTCCGCGTCAGGTATATCTTTCCGACTGGTAATTTACGTTACCAACCTGAGAAAACAAGCTCTCTTCGGACCTTTTGACATTCCGGGAATACATACGAGCGATAGCGAGCTAATAACCGAGCAGCAGTCGGCAAGTGTATCGTGGCTGGCATCTTTCGGAAGATGCCAGCACGTCGAGAACGGTGAGAACGGTTTCCGCGTTATTTCGTGACACGTGTCTCGCTGTTCGACAACTTGGTTCACTCTCTCTCTCTCTCTCTCTCTCTCTCTCGACTCTCCGCACATTTTCTCAATGACCGACTCGGATTCGAGAGATCGGATAACGGCCGCGATTAAGCGAGCGAGCGGAACGCGGGAGAATAGCGATTATTTGTAATAGCGACTTGACGCAAGCATCTGCTTCCATGTAGCAATTTATCGTGCCTTCTGTCGTGGCTGCTTTCGGCGATTCACATTTATTTTTGTATCTTTTCGTCAAGCCCTCATCCCCGCTCCCCCTCATCTTGCCCCACCTCTCATATTCCCCATATCACTCAACGTTAATCTCACCTCCTCTCCGCCTAACCTCCACCCCTCCTCCTCCCCCTGCCCCTCTCATCACACAATGTATTCGAACGAGCTCGTAAACGTCTAAAAGTAAATCTCAGTATCTCGTACGAGTATTACCGCATAACATTACTACATATATATATATATATATAGCATAACTTATAACTTTGTACTTTTCTTGTAGATACGATATGGATATGTCACGTCTAATTTAAACAATAAAGTTTACGTTATTAAGAGCGCCGTTTATCGATGGCTGGAAACCCGCCCAGAGAATCCCTCTTCCCCCGTCAGGGGGGATTATTCCACCGGAGGAGCCGCCGCTAATCTCATTCGGCCCAGTTTTTCGGAAGTTTCGGTAATCGGTCCGATTAGGCCTCCATAAGAGAGAAATTACACGACGAGAGACGTGGCCGGTAACCGCGCATATAAAACGCATACACGCCGAAAGTTCGAGATCGACTTTTTATCCATTATTTCCCATAATGACTGTAATCATGCAATCTTCCACCCGCATGCATTCCACCCGCGTGGCGCCCGCGTCGGCGTGTTGCGCGGGCCCAATTCCGTGAAACAGAGGTAGAGAGCGGTCGCCGAGTGAAGCAGTTCTAGTCACATTAAACGAATAATTATTTAACGGAGAACCGGCAATTTTGGCGCGCGCAGGATTTAGAGCTCTCGTTTTCATCGATTATGGAAAAACTACCGCTGTAACGTATAACGTATCACGTGCGACTCTGCGTGTCGGATCTCTCCCTGTCGAGCGACTGAAAATTTGCGACGAACGGCTCCCGCCCCTGAGATGATCCTCAAGGAGAGAATATGAATTACGATTGGCGTGTACTCGGTGCTAAAGAGAAAGACAACATTTGTATTTGGGACTGGAGGAGGAGGAGGAGGAGGAGGAGGAGGAGGAGGAGGAGGAGGAGAAGAAGAAGAAGAGAAGGCCGCTTTCGGGCCTCTTTTTTCGAATATCGCGCCAACTCGCTTCAAGTCGGCGCGAAGAGACGACGAAGCGGCGACCAACCTCGTGATCTTCAGCCTCGCCCCAAGAAGAAGTGTCCCCGGGGCGAGGATCCACCCACGGAATTCCTGCGCGTCTGCCGGGGACCATCTGTCGATTCGACGAATTCGCTCCTCGGTTTGCGGCGCTTCGGGATTTTTCGAAATCCTCACCGCGGGCCAAATTACCGAGGCCTAATTATCACGCCGGTGCGATGATCGTCCTGGGACGAGCATCGTCCGGACGCGTACCCAGGTCCCCGGGGATACACCGGAGCTTCTCTCGTTCTTCTCTATCGAACCCACCTACGAAGTCGGGGCCCGACGTGCCGCGCGCGTTGCGCAGTCTTCAGGAATGCCCCCCGAGGTGGAGCGCTTCCACCGCTAATTCCACCTTCTTACTGCCGGCTTTTGCTCGATCGATATTTCGCAATCGGCTCTGACTCGGAATTTTTAGGATTCCGGTTAAGAGCATCCCGCTCCTCTTCCTCCCCCTGGTCGCGGATTCGCCTTGATACACTGAGATCAAGAGATTTACGTCTACGAAATGACGCGTGCAGCAGTCGATCGGCCGAGCGGATCTGTAAGATCCGTACAAACACATTTTGTTCTTGCTCTAATGTCCAATGGATCAGCGTAAAATTTACGTGATATTCAATTTACCTCGTCAACCTCGATCTCTTCTCTCTGATTATATCACGTCGATATGACGAACCAAGTAGCAAGAGATAACTTACTCAGATGCGGAATAGAGATCGGAATAATCCTGAGATATCGCTCGATCGCAAGTACTCTTTTCCGGTAATTAGGAAAAAAAAAAAAAAAAAAACAGGTTAAATGACTTGAATCGTCGTTTGAATAAAATCATGAGAAAAATATGTCGTCAGATACTTGGTCGATACGACGTCGGAGCATAATCTCCCGGAGTTTCTTATACGGAGGAAGCGACACGGACATAGTCAGAAAGGTAATAACAATAATTAAGCAAATATTATTCTGAGAAAAATCCCTGGCTTTCGTCTCGCAGTGTGCGTATGCGTACGCGCTAAATCGCGCAATTAAAAGAATTAGCTCGCTCCGAGTGGCTAGAGATCAGTCCCCGCGATCACGAACGAGTGATCTCGCGCTTACGAGCGAGAAACAAGGAACTTCGAAAGAAGGGACGCGCGATGCATTAGGCTAATCGCGCCGTTAAATAATTCATCACGCACGAGGCATTCAAATTAATAACGTATTACGAGAATCACCTCCAATCGAGCTCACGAATTGCTTTGTATACTCTATCATTTCCGCAGCGGTTCTCACTCACACACACACACACACACACACACACACACACCGCGCTTTTGTGTTACGGCACATTTATGCCGTCGCGACCAAATTCGGCCAATTTCGCGGTTTTTCACTTGAGAGCGGTGTTAATATCCCCCTTAAATCAATCAAAACGTAACTCGGCTGCCGCAGCTTCGCTGTTTAACTCGAAGAGGGTAGCAACAATTTGCAGAATTAATTTTGATTAAAGATACAAGAAACGTCGCAACATGGCAACTATGTACGAGCCACTAATCCTAATAAACACTAATCCTTAATTTTTCATTCATCAGATCATAATTTTTGTAAATGCAGGTAAAGCGACGAAAAGCGGCTTCGATTCTGACGCCTCGTCGTCTATTCAATCGCTTTCCTTCTTTCTCTCGCGCACCTCGTCATTATTATCATCATCATCATCATCGTCATCACCTGATGGGGGGGTCGTGCGGAATATCTGCTTTCTCGGAGAGCCTGAAAACATCGTCGGAAAGGTCGTTTGCAAAAGTCGTAGATCCGCGTAGCCGGGCTGCGCACCGCTGACGGTCCAAATCGCATTCAAATGAGGAAAGGAGGGGCGTGCGCCCCCTCCCCCTCTCGCGGGGACCCCGAAAAAGCGAAACGATCCTCGGCATACACGCCGAGGAGTCAGAGACGCCGCGTGTAATCATTCTCGGAAGGGCGATCCCCTGGCCGGGAGATGATAATAATAATTTGAATCGCGACCACTTAGCATACGTGCAATTTGGCGCTTACGACGATTCCGTCCTCTCCTCTCCTCTCGGCGGCGTAGCGCGCGGTCAGCGCCGTCGTCGTGCCGGTGAGCGACGGCGCGCAGCACAGGGACGAGCCTAGTCGTCGAGCTCGCGCTCCAGCCAGCCGGAGAAATCTGTAATCACCGAGCCGGGATTGAAGCCGCGGGCCTGCCCAGAGAGAGAGAGAGAGAGAGAGAGAGAGAGAGAGAGAGAGAGAGAGAGAGACACGGGCCCCTCGCGGGGGCCCGGATAAAACGCGACACGAAACGCGCGTGTAATTTGCGGGCTCTGTTTTTCGACAGGCGCGTACCTTCCTCCGGACTGGCCCTTTCCCTCTCCCGCTCCGTTCCTCGAGGGAGCATAAAAGCGCCTCGCGATAAATTCTCGCTTCGCCGTAAATGATTACGTTAGACGACGCTGCCATCCCTCAGGCCGCTCGAGGATGTATTTTGCGCGGTAGCGCGTCCGCACGCCGCGGCCGGCGACGTGTGCACCGACACCGACGCGACAACCGGGTGTACGCAATCGGCCGAGGTAACGGAACCGGCCGAGGACGAATCGTCGCTGCGAGAGAGAGAGAGAGAGAGAGAGAGAGAGAGAGAGAGAGAGAGAGAGAGAGAGAGAGAGAGAGAGAGAGAGAGAGAGAGAGAGAGAGAGAGAGAGCTTCGTCTCGCAATCGCCGGCAGATGCGCAGATTGTCAGATTTGCCCGTCGTCGTCGCGTCGCTCCCGTCGTCTTAGGCGGGTGATACCTTGCTGATAAACGTTCTTAGAAAACGCCAATTTGTTTCTTTCTAAATATGGTCTTTAAAACCTTCCCCCCTCCCCGCATAGCTCGCAGCGGCACTATGACTTCGCGTGACAAAAAATGTCCAACATGACGCAGCTCACGTGCGTAAAAAACCGCCGGTAAACACGGAGTGAAAAAAATTGTTGTCCGACCGAGCGCAGACGACGGAGATCATTATAGACATTTGCTCGATAATATTTGCATGAATCTGGATGGCATGTCTGTAGTCGTTGATTAATAGGTGGGTACGCTCGTAAAGGCAAGATGAAAGACTGGTGCGGGCCGGACGACTGAATTCCTCCCCGATGCCGACGATACGGCGTGGCATGCGACATCTTATACATACATTGTATAAGAGGCAGTCGGCAACTCTCGTCGTTGCCTCTTTTCCGCGTTGCCAAGAGAGCGCTGGTAGTGAGTGAGTCGCTTTCGCAGGAAGATAACGTTTCGTGAGAGGAGAGAGAGAGAGAGAGAGAGAGAGAGAGAGAGAGAGAGAGAGAGTGTATGTGTGTGTGTGTGTGATATCGCGAAAAGTGTGGTGCGCCGTTGCGTTTGTTCGAGTATTTCAAGGAACGCTAATCGCTGAGAAGAAGCAAACGAAACGAACGGACGTTCGCGATGTCGCAATCCATCACGGACAATCACAGTCATTCGCGGGTCCGTAGCTAGCGGGTGGAGATCGGTCGCGCATCCTCGCCATAACTCCACGTAATAGCTAATATCTCACGAGAGTCGTACAAACGCGAATCGGTTACTAGTTACTACTTACATGAGTTAACATGATTTATCGTTCAGCGTTAGCCGCGTCCGAGGCCGCCGAGAAAAAGTGAGAAGCGCGGGGACGAAGGAGAGACGGGAGAGAAACTGTGTGTGTGTGTGTGAGAGAGAGAGAGAGAGAGAGAGAGAGAGAGAGAGAGAGAGGAGGAAGGACGGACGCGCGCGAGGAGGGATGAAGAGTGCAAATCTCTCGGGAGGCTTCACTACGGCCAATTAGGGCCCAGTTTTAATCGTTCGCGCCTAATTGCAGGCCCATTACTTTGTCTCTCGAGGGTAAATACGTCGAGCTAAATACCCACGTCAAAATAAAGAATACGCGGGCTCTCGAAAATCATCAGCGCGCGAGCGTCCCAAGAGATATCCTTCCAGGTGGAAGGACAACCGAGGAGCGAAAAGGGCATATATGCGAGACGTTTAATAAATTGCTGCATAGCGCGACTGCAGAAACAAAACCAAAGAAGAAAAACAGTCGCGTATTTCCGGGTGATTGTAGTCGAGTCGTGCGCTGTTTTACGAGAATAAATCAACCAGCCAGAGTATAATTGTCAGTCTGTGTCTTCTAGATTGTTCAGTCCCAAGCGATTAACTCAATCTCGACCAAACTACAA